CCCCCCTCCCGCCCGCGGCCGGCTCGCGGGACCCCCGCCGCTGCGGGTGCGCGGGGGAGACGGCTGCTGCCCCAGGGCGGAGTTCGCACAGTCGCATCGAGTTCATAGCCGGGGAGAGGCGGTCAGAAACCGACCTAACAATGGCGATCGGATGGGCCGAGGGGGTCTCTGAACGGCGTGTGTGCAAATGTGAGATTTAGGGGGGAAAAATGGGGTTGAAATATTTTTTTGGCGTGTCGAACGGTGTTTGCTTTGACTTTCGTAAGTTGCCAAAGTTTTCTTTTCATTTGCACTGAAAGAAAAGCACTTTTCTTCCCGTGTTACATAATGGAGGGTTGAAGAAAACAGTGTCCCCAGGCTTAAAATAAGTGGTGTCATCTTAGTCTCCCGTCCCAGTGGGTGTCAGATGTGGGGGAGGGGTCTCTGCGGGACACAGGCCAGTCTGTCGGTCCCCAATATCCGTTTATATTGGTCTGATGCAAGGTCGGGCTGCAACTTCAGGCTGATGGTGACCCGCGCGCCGGGCGCGGGGGCCCGGTAGGCAGCCCCCTCTGGCGCTACTGCCGGCGGGATAACGTAATTTGCAGGCACCCCCCACCACCACCACCACCGCCAGGCTTCCCCACTCCCCCCCAAAAAAACAGGAAATAAATACCAGCCAACAGCACGCGGGCAAAGCAGCCCGTGTGTTTTCCTGGAACTTTTCCTTGTAGTTTTAGAAAGAAAGCCTATTTTTCTGAAAGCGGCCCCAGCTGCCTTTCAGATCTCTTGGTATCGAAAAAGATCAGCTCCCACTTTGTTCCGGTGGCCGCGATGCCGAGCAAGCGGTGAGAGATTAAGAAGGTACCCATTTCAAAAAGAATTCCCCCAGAAACGAGGCCGCGATATCTTCTTTACAATCATGACCAAAATAATTAGAAAAGTGAGAAGCACACTTTGCAAAGATTAGGCAAAAACGAAATCTGGCCAAGGAAACCTTTTCTCTATGGCATCGACCGCCAAAGGACTCACTCAAAGAAATACGCTGTTTACAACTTTCTCAGAGTCCGAAACCCTCTTCTGCTAACATGGCAACTGGACGATTGTATGTGGAGGATTCGGATTTTTTTTACAGAAATGTTGAATACAGATGTGTGCCTTTTGGGGCCCCCATGTGCCTTTGCGGGGGAGGAGGGCTGTCGATGGCGAGGACCTGCTCTCACTGTAGTACGGTGGGGAAGGGAGAGGCTTGTTTTTTCACTGAGGGGGACTATAGAGCAGTCCCCTTTCAAGGTGTGTTTCCTCGTGGTCTCCTGCCGGTTCTTGCGAAGGAAGCCTAACTCCAACTCAGATGCTAAGTCTGGGTTTCCAAGCCTGTAAGACTGGGGGTTTGGAAGTCAAAAGGTAAAATTGTGAGTGAATGTCTCGGCAATTTATGGTAATAATGAGGTCTAATGAGGTTGTTAGAAAGATAAAATGTTATTTACCAAAAAACCTGATGGGATAATTTGACTCGCTGTGTTTTACTACCGATGATAAAAAGAATATTGATTGCAAATAAATCAGGGCCTTTAAATGCTTGCGCACAGTTTGTGCTGTTCGCCGCACATCAAAGTCAAACTTGAGAGATCAAGTCGCAGAGGCCCAGGAAACCGGTTCCGCTCCTCGCGCCGGTGCTGCGGCCCTCGCGTTAATATTTTACCGGATAAGCCCTCCTTCTGTGTTTAAGAAAAACAAATGGTGTTTTTGTTATTGTTGTCCGTGATGGCCAGGATTAAAATTTTAAATGACCTGTCACCACTATAGACCTTTAAGTGTGGGCGAGCCATTATATGCAGATTAATCTGAAAGCTAAAAAAGAGTTGTGCTTTCATTTTAAATTGGTGGCGGATTTGGGCCCGGAGAAAACCCGGGCGGTTTATTTTGTTTGACCCCCTCAGGGTCTGAGGGTGGGGGTGTGGGCTCTCGGTTCTTTAGGTTTGGAGAAGCTGTTTTATCGGCCTAGTTAAAAGGTTTTCCCCTCCAGCTAGTGCTTGGTAAACTTGGAAATCCGGCTTCTGGAGTCGTTGTGGGGGTGGGGTGGGGGACGGAGGGCGGCCTAGGGAAATTCGAGGGGCCGCGGCTCCCGCTGTGGCCTTCCAGAGAGAGGCAAGATTTCTGGAACTTTTCTTGAGTGACAGAAAAACTCTCCAGGATCCGTGGAAGCGCAGCTCCTGGAGGCGGCTCGTGGTGTCACCCCCACACCCCCCACTCCCCGCCCTCGGTGGTGCATTGGGGCCTTCTGCTCTCGGCGGACGGGAGCAGCCGACTTTCTTAGCTCTGGGGACTCATCTCTGTTTCTCTCTCTCTCTCTCTCTCTCTCTCTCTCTCTCTATACCCCCACTCTCTCTCCTCTGTTGCTGGGCCGCGTGGCTGCAGGGCTCACAGTATGAACTCAAGGACAACCCGGGGGTGCACCCCGCCACATTTGCCGCCCACACGGCGCCGGCCTACTACCCTTACGGCCAGTTCCAGTACGGGGACCCCGGGCGGCCCAAGAACGCCACGCGCGAGAGCACGAGCACGCTCAAGGCCTGGCTCAACGAGCACCGCAAGAACCCCTACCCCACCAAGGGCGAGAAGATCATGCTGGCCATCATCACCAAGATGACCCTCACGCAGGTCTCCACCTGGTTCGCCAACGCGCGCCGGCGCCTCAAGAAGGAGAACAAGGTGACGTGGGGCGCGCGCAGCAAGGACCAGGAGGATGGCGCCCTCTTCGGCAGTGACACGGAGGGCGACCCCGAGAAGGCCGAGGACGACGAGGAGATCGACCTGGAGAGCATCGACATCGACAAGATCGACGAGCACGACGGCGACCAGAGCAACGAGGACGACGAGGACAAGGCCGAGGCGCCGCGCGCGCCCGCAGCGCCCGCCCCGCTCGCCCGGGACCAGGGCTCGCCGCTGGCCGCCGACGCGTTCAAGCCGCAAGACTCGCCGCTGGGCCTGGCCAAGGAGGCCCCGGAGCCCGGCGGCACGCGCCTGCTGAGTCCCGGCGCGGCCGGCGGCCTGCAGAGCGCGCCGCACAGCAAGCCCAAGATCTGGTCGCTGGCCGAGACGGCCACGAGCCCCGACGGCGCCCCCAAGGCCTCGCCGCCGCCGCCCGCGGGCCATCCGGGCGCGCCGCTGCAGCACCCCGCCTTCCTGCCCAGCCACGGACTGTACACCTGCCACATCGGCAAGTTCTCCAACTGGACCAACGGCGCCTTCCTGGCGCAGGGCTCTCTGCTCAACATGCGCTCCTTCCTGGGCGTCGGCGCGCCCCACGCCACGCCCCACGGGCCGCACCTGCCCGCGCCGCCGCCGCCGCCGGTCGCCGTTGCCGCGGGGGTGCTCCACGGCGACAAGGCTTCAGCCCGCAACAGCCCCGCGCTCCCAGGTATGACGCCCAGGGTTGTCCTTCCCCCGTCCGGGCCAGGAACCCGGAGCCCCGGCGCAGCTTGAAGCGGGGCGGGGTGGGGGTGGGGAGGGGCCGCGGATGGAGAGACGCAGGGGCTGCCTAGCCCCGCCGAACCGCGACCCTGTCTAAACTCGGGGAGCGAGGCCAGGGCCCCCGGCCCTCCGGAGAGAGCCGCGCTCCACGCTCGGGCCTGCCGGGCAGAGGAAGCCCGTTTCTGGCGGAGGCCCTGCCCCGGCGGCGGGAGGGACGGACCGGGGTGGGGTGGGCGGAGGCCCGCGCACCTGCACCCACCCTGCACACCTGTCCCGTCGCGCTAACGCTGCCCCCCCCATCCTCGCAGAGAGAGACCTCGTCACCAGGCCAGACTCACCGCCACAGCAGTTAAAGTCGCCCTTCCAGCCGGTTCGCGACAAGTGAGTGCGCTTTGCTTGGACCCCTGGGCGGGGGAGGGAGCAGGGTCGGCGGTGCTGGGGTCGCACAGTGGCTGTTGAAGGGCAGTGCCCACCCGCCCCGCGCGCCGGGCCCGCCGGGTCTCCCCGGGTTTCTCCGGAGCCGGGAACGGCGAGGGGCGGGCGACGCCGGGCGCCAGCGTCCCTCCTGACCGTGCCTCTGCCTTCCTGTCTCGCTGTGTTTCCCCCGCAGCTCGCTGGCCCCGCAGGACGGAACGCCGCGGATCCTCGCAGCCCTCCCGTCCGCCTGATTCAGGGTCTTCTTTTACTTTTGCGGGGGGAGGGGGGTGGAGTTCGGGAGGGAGGGGATGAGGGAGGAATTAAGACAAATATTTCAGACTGGTGTAAAGGACAAACATGGCCACGACGTCAACGACTCCCATCCATCGCTTTCTGCAGAAAGGGGTTCCTCCGGCCGAGCTGGCGCCCGGGCAGCCAGCCCCCGCCCGCGGCTTGGCTTCGGTCGCTGCCACCGTGCTCCGGTTGATGATCAGTTCGGTAAATGCCCCTGTGTGCTTGTTCTTTTTTTTTTTTTTCTGTATATAGAGTGATTTCAGATTGTAAATAGCGCGTCAGCGAACTTGTCTAAATCATATATTTTTGTCTAATAAACTAAAAGAAATGATGCCCACTGCTCCTGCTGCTGTGTGTGGCTGGGGGTGTCCTGAGTGCTGAAATCCTGGCAGTGCCTGGGGCTTGGGGAGGAGAGCCCCCCCCCCGAGGGGGGAGGGGAATCCATCTGGGAGGCAGTTGTTTCTCAGTCTTTTGGTTGTTGAGTTTGTAATATTGTCACTGGGCAGTTTCTTGTTGGCAGTTCGATTCTTAACTCTTCTGCATACATATATCCGGGGCATGCCTTTCTCAGGACGGAAATGAGTTCGATTTTAGGCGTTTTTATAAAACGATTTCTTAAAATGGGCAACAATGGGGGAAAAAGAATTTTCAATCGTGTCCCCAAAGGAGAACTTGGGATTTGAAATCAATTTATACCTAGTTGTCTCGACAGTGTATGCTGGCGTCAGGTCGTTCATGGGGAGAATGAGGACATAATGGAGTATGAAATTTTGCTTTGAATGTATTTTTTAGTTATTTGGTTAAATCAAACGTGGAGAAATTGGAAGGCTCTTTTAAACTCTCCTGATGGAAGGCAGGGATGCGGCGCGGGGGTGTTCTCTGGGCGTGAGCGAGAGGGCTCCGCAGTGGTGGGGGGAGCACAAACTGGGAACGGGGCTCTGGTCTCCCCGGGACGCCCCTTTAAACTGTGGGCCCAGGTCTGGGTGCACCGAGTGCGCCAGCCCGGGAGCAAATGAAACCCCAGACGGCCTAGGCCGGGCTTTCAGGCAGCTGGGAGCGAGGTGCGGGTCGGGGGAGGAGGGGACAGTGCGTGGCGGCGCGGGTCTCGCGTGCGCGGGGAGGCGGTGGCCGCCGAGCCTCGGGGACGGCGTTGCGCTCGGAGCGGGGCGCGCCGCAGCCGCCTGCACGTCCGACAGGGCTCAGGTCACTTTGGATTTGCGGAAACTGAGACGGCAAACATTTCCCAAACTGCGCGCGAGGGACGTGTGTGGACTGCGGGGCAACCTGCCCAGTGGGAAGAGGCCGAGCCCCCCGCCTCGGCCAGGGCCGCCTCCACGCCGCAGCCGGGTCTGATCCTCGCCCTCGCACCCCTTCGGGGCCCGCTGTCCCGGGGCGGCCAGTAGCGGCGAAGAGCAAGGCTGTCTACAGGCTGTGGCTTCTCCGCGGCGGGGAAAAGGGGCGGCTAGAGCTGAGGACTGGGGGTGCCACCCGCGGGGCCCACTCTCCTCCGGCGCTGTTGCCCTTCTCCAGCCTCTCCCCACTCCGTCCGTTTGGAGGAAGTGGCCCCCTCCCCGCCCCCGGGGCGGAGGCGCGAAGGGGGCTGCGAGGGCCAACGTGGACGGCGGGCAGGTGGGGGGCCGCGGCGGGCGGGGGTGTGGAGCCGCCGGGGGAGCCCGGCCCGGAGCCGAGCCGAGTGCTGGCGGGCGGGCCGCGGCCGCGGGGGAGCGGCTTTCGGTCCGAATGGACGTGCTCGAGGCGCCCTCTATGGGTCGAAAGCGGAATGGGGTCCTGACGGCGGCGCGGCTCCAGCTCCTGGGGCGTCGCGCAGAATCGGGGGGGTTCTGGGCCTTTGGGATGCGGTGGGCGCGAGATTCTACTTGTGGTGTCCGGGCTTTTCTGTTTTCTTGGGTGCCACCCACTTGTCTGAATGTTGGCGGGGTGTTGCCGGGCCTGCTGTGTAGGCTGCTGGCTTTCGGGGAGGAGGAAGTGGGTGCCAGGCTCCAGGTGGGTCGTTGTCATTGTTCCGGGCGGGGCCTGAGAGTTCAGAGAGGAGTTCCTCGTCTGCCCTCGACTTTAGTGCTTGGGGGTCACCGCAGCCCTGGGGTTCCTGTTTCTGAGTTTTGGGTATGGAACAGTCTGACCACTGGGGCCAGGTGTCCTTGGCGTCAGTGCGTGTCCAGAGAGCTCTGACCAGCGGTGTCCTGCGCGTCCTCGGCCCACAGACGTGCTGCTCTGGCAGCCAGTGTGCCGGGAGAACCTTCCTGGGCGCCCTCTGGAAGCAGCAGGTGGATGCAGGTGGGCGGTAGAGTCCTCTGCCCTGGCTGGCCTCCACTCTCTCTTACTTCCCAGACTCAAGTAGGATGGTCCGTGCAGACACCGGCAGCTTGCGCACCCTAAAAGTCCATTCTTTTCTCTTTTTATATTCAATACATTGGGACCCCTTAGTGCTGTCGCCTAGGTGGCTGGGCCAGAAGGTGCTCCCCAGGGAGATTCCAGCCCTCAGAATCCAGTGGCCCAGTAGTGTTAGGGTCTGTGTCCCTCCTGAGGACTGGGGAAGTTTCCCACACAAAGAAATCAGATTGGAATTGTCTGGAGGGTAAAGCTAAAGGTGAATTTTCAGTTCAGCACTGAGGAGCACTGTTTTTCTTCGTGTGTCTTTTGTTTATATTTGTTTCCATCTTTCCCAGCCATGCAGCCACCTAGGTGTGTGCAGCCTGGGGAGCTGCGGGCCCCAGGGGGACTTCTGTGTACACAGTGTTCCAGCTCCTAAAATATCTGGGAGTAGACACAACCCCCTTTTATTCTAAAGCCAAAGTGGAGTTCCTCTGCAGCTTTCTGCACGGCAAGGGTGCTCTCCCACCCCACCCCTGCCCAGGCGCAGTTTCAGAGAGGGTGGTGTTCTTTGCAAGTGTTCTGTGACCTGCAAAGAGGAGGATGAACTTGAAAATGGGAAAGGGTGAGGCATCTCCACAGGATTAGTGTTTGCACGTTGGCTCCCCCTCCGCCTCAGGAACAGGCTTCCTGGAGAAAAGACACCCTGGTCCCCAGGACAGGGTTTCTGTCTCCGAGGCTTGGTGGGGGAAGGGTGAGAAATGCAGTCCCGGGACCCTCCCTTTTCTGCTCCAACCCCAGCTGGTGCCCAGGTAACAGGATGATCAGAAGCACAGCCCTTCTAGATCAGGGGCCCCCAATTCCTGGCCTGGGGACTTGGGGAGTGGGTCCAGGCCCCGCTCCAGCCACAATCGTGACCTGCCAGAGTCTCTGAAATCTCTCTGCCCTCACCAGCCTTCCCTCCCCCTCCGATCAATTATATGCACCAGCACATTTATCTCGCCTGCAATATGGAGGATTCATATTCATATCTCGGTTTTAGTGGCCTGACACTGATTAATGTAATACGCGCTGTGGCTCCGAGGGGCGCGCCACCCTATGAATCATGCACTATAAAGTTTCAGTCGTCCTTGTGATGGGACTCTGCCAGAGAGCAAGGAAGCCAGAGAGGGAAGGAGGGCGGGGAAGGGACGGGAGGGAAAAGAGGGGTGTGGGGGGACTTCGTGGTCTGGTGCCCGCAGGCCCTGATTGAGGCTCCCCCAGGCAGTGGACCCTTGGCCTAAACCTGTCCCTCCGCTCTTCCCTAGCTGTCATCTTTCCTTCCCTTGCAGATGATCCCATAAGACCAGAGGCGGCCTGGCTGGCAGAGGCCATGCTGGGGTGCGGCTGGGGCTGCCCGGGGACCATGGTTTATGGACACCGATTTGGAGAGGTTGGAGCCCTGAATACTCTAGAAAAGGACAGGACCCAGTTTACTAGCTGGAATGTGGCTTTGACCTTGGGGTGCCCAAGTGGGGGGGGGTTGGAAAGGAGGGGAGGAAGCCAGGCTCAAGGAGGGCTGCTGGGTGGGCTCGGCTCCAAGAATGTTTGGGGTACACAGGTCTTAGAGACTTGGAAGGCTCCACCAGCCGCCGGGGGCTCTACCCACAACTTGTGCTGCATGGGTCACATATCAGGGCCCAGCACCATGACAGGAGTCAGGCCGACTTGGAACCCCAAGGAGAAGCTTTGGGGTGCCGACACTGAGCTCAGGCCTTGCGGCCCCATGACTTGCCAGGCCCCCGGGTGTCCTGGGGTGAGTCCTGCCACATCTCCCGGGCCCCGACTGGAGAATGTGGCTCAAGGTGTGGAGGGCAGCAGGGGAGTGGCCTGCGTGTGGAACCCAGGGTGGGTGGCTAGGAGACAGAGCTGGGGAGTGGGTGCGTTCTGGGGGTGGTGGCAGCACCCAGCTGCCTGGAGGGGTCTCCGCCCTGTGTGGAGGGAGCAGCCCCTACAAACCTGCGTGCTCTGGGCTATGGCTGCGCACCCCTGGGCTTCTGATGAATGGGTCTCCAAGTAAAAAGCCGTCAGCGATCTGGTGCCCAGCTCAGCGGAGGAGGGAGAGCTTTGCAGGCTTCTCCGGGGCCCCGCGGAGCCAGCGGCTCTAATTATAGCTCCCAAGCTGAAAGGCCTCGGAAGGTCATCCCGTGGGGACTGCTGGCGGCCTTTTGTGCCCCAGCTTCTGAAGCTGGGGACGGATCCCTCCCCTCTGACTAAGGATGGCTGAGAAAGGGCCTCTGACCGCCGGCAGGGAGCCGGAGGGCGGCCGCTCATCTGTCCTCACCGCCAGCCCCCGCCTGGGGCCCACAGTATTTTTAGAGACCCACGAAAATGTTTTAATTTCTTTTGAAATGAAAGGGAAAAAAAAACCTTTCAGGTCAAAGACAATGTGTTAATATATAATCTCCATATATTCATCTTTATATCAACACAGTCCTGATATTGATTTTGTTTTCAATGGAGGAAGAGGCTCATCACCCATGGAAGTCACCATGTGGCCTAGGCCAGGGGGCCCCCGGAGCGGCCTGAAATTCTGGAATTGTCATAAATGGAAAGTCAGAGGATCCAGGAGGCCTAGAACCCCGGAGGGGAGCGAAGAAGGGGCCCCGCGTGGGTGACCTTCCCTTCTCAGGATCCGGCAACGGGGACCCATGGTGCTACCCCAGGTCGAGTCGTGGGAGCCCCCCAAGATGTTGGCCTGAACCCCCGAGAAGGAAAGGCCAGGCAGTCCTCGCTGGCAGCGAGGCAGAGGACAGTGGCTCCGCGCGGGCAAAGGCCAAGCAGCCCCTTGGTCCCCTCCGGCAGGGCACAAGTTGCAGCCCTTTCTGCGCGCCGCTGTTTGGCTTCTGAAGACGCCGCGGGTGTCTCTGATCCCCTAATCCATTTACCCAGCGTCCTGAGCGCCCTGACTGAATGCGGGGACACAATGGCCTGGGCTGCACCAGGGGGCCCGGTGGGGGGAA